AATAGTACAAACAATGTTTTTGGTGTCTCTCATCCAATCAATTAAGTCTACTTTAAGAGTATTCCAGATAGAGATAATGTGAACATTTAACAACAGGTCATTGATTACATAGAGAATGGAACAGTAAGCAGGCCAAAAACTGATGTGGCAGAAGGTTATATAGTATCAGAAGAAGGGGAAGGGAAGGAAAAGGAAGGGAGAAGGAAGGATGGGAGAAGGAAGGAAGGAAGGAAGGAAGGAAGGAAGGAAGGAAGGAAGGAAGGAAGGAAGGAAGGAAGGAAGGAAGGAAGGAAGGAAGGAAGGAGGGAGGAAGGGAGGGAGGGAGGGAGAAAGAAAGGAGAGGAAGGGAGGGAGATAAGTAGGAACCTTACTTATGTCATCTGCCATGGTCCTCCAGAAATCCAAATGCAGTCAGGTAACATCACAATGGACTTTAATGTAAATCTTCAGTGGTTCTCTACGGATTCTCTGTGAGAGGCATGGCTAAGGACGATCCTAGAGCATACCTTCTTTCTCTGTTACTAACAGAACCTCAGTTTTGACAAGGGCATCAGGATGCCTAGCCTAGAAAAATAAAACCAAGCCTTTGCTTCCTTGCTGTATGCTCACTTACACTGCCTCTCTGAGTGATTTGGAGACCAAATTCTGGCCAAAAGCTTGGGAGTAGGAGAGTGGGTTCTGGAAACTATTTTTTCTTCCATGAAAAAAAATGGAGATTCCCTTTTCCACTGGAATTATTTTCTTCCTGTTGTAGAGAAGGAAAAATATCTCTTTCCTGTACTCCCTAGCTTCTCTAGTAGGGGCCCTACAAATTAGACAAAGACAGATTGGAAAGAGGAAAAAGAAACAGAGTTTATTAGCATGTATAGCATGCACAGATGCAGCATAAACTCAATAATGAGTAAGTCAAAGTGGTGGTTAGAACTTGGGATAATATAGCATCTTAATAAATAACAACAAATTTGTGGAGAGTGGAAAGACAATGAGAAAAAAGGGTGTAGCCTTTTAGGGGCAGCAAATTGCAGGAAGGCAAATACATGGAGGGAACCTAATAGAAGACAAGGATTATTTTAGTGAGATTTGTTTGCAGGCCCATCTTGGTGGTGACTTTCAGTGCTCTCCATGGCCATAAAACTTGCCCAGGAGACGGGCTTTACGGCAGTCCCCGCTACTCAGAAGTTTCTGCTTTTAGTCAGATAAGGGAAGCTCCAAGAAAGTTTCTTTCTGCATCTGTTGATGTTCACTTGCCTCCAGTTCAAAATAATCCTTATGCCAAGGGGGCATATTTTGTGGTGGCATATTCAGATTCCCTACACTGTCTTGAATGTGGCTTTTAAGGATATGATTTTTTGGAGCAATTGCAGCCATCCTGTAACCATGCAGTGATAAGTCTATTTAGAGTCCAGTATTGAGCAGAATGCAGGGATATAAAAGAAATAGAAGGTATTATGGTCCTTGAGCCCAAAAGGCCTATAATGCATTGTCACATGAATTAACTGGAGAACAATTACAAGACAACTTACAGTATTGCTCAGTGCCAGCTAATGTAGAGTTTATGGCAGCCCTCCAGAGCCTACTGGTGGTAATTCCATCCTGCCAGTGTGTCTTTCCAATCTGGCTAAACTGATGACGTTTTTAGGAAAGATGTGACATTTAGAGGAGATTCTGGTCTCACACTCCTACCTTTCTAAAATACACTTTGGCCCATGTTTAAACACCACTGACAGCTTTCACTCAGAAAGGAAGCATAGTATCAAACAAGCACTGGACTAGACATTGGGCTTTAGTGTTGGTAAAGTCACTTCGTTATGGGATATGGTGAAAGTCATTTAAATATCTGGGAGTTTGGTTCCTCATTTGTAACTTGGGGGTAATGATTCATTAAACAAATATTTACTGAGCACTTTATAAGTGTTGGACACTGTTTTAGGCCATAGGGATATAACAATGAACAAAAGAGACAAAGTCCTTCCCCTCGTAGACGGCAGACATACAATAAACAACTATGAACTCCATCAGCATGCAGTAGTAAGTCTGATGGAAAAATGTAAAGCAGGAATGAGGAGGCTAGGAAGAAAGGCAGGTAAGTGGGAGGGAGCAACTATTTTATATAGAGTGGTCAAGAGTATCTCTTTGACAAGAGGCTTGCATTTCTGTCCCCTTGTGGTGTGTGTGTATGTGTATATATATATATATGTACACACATGTGCATAGCACCCTATTTGTCTGGAGGCTTATGGAGGAAGTCAAATGACTGAAAATATGTGATAAGTGCATGGAAAATTACTCAGGATTATGTGAACATAAACATAGAAGGTATTATCATTGTTATTATTGCTTTCCTTCCCCTCGTAGACGGCAGACATACAATAAACAACTATGAACTCCATCAGCATGCAGTAGTAAGTCTGATGGAAAAATGTAAAGCAGGAATGAGGAGGCTAGGAAGAAAGGCAGGTAAGTGGGAGGGAGCAACTATTTTATATAGAGTGGTCAAGAGTATCTCTTTGACAAGAGGCTTGCATTTCTGTCCCCTTGTGGTGTGTGTGTATGTGTATATATATATATGTACACACATGTGCATAGCACCCTATTTGTCTGGAGGCTTATGGAGGAAGTCAAATGACTGAAAATATGTGATAAGTGCATGGAAAATTACTCAGGATTATGTGAACATAAACATAGAAGGTATTATCATTGTTATTATTGCTGATTAAGTCTCTACTCCTTAGTTCGACATTCAAGATCTTTCACAATACAGCCTTTCAACCTACCTCTCCGGTTTTTCTCCACTCCCCTGTATAAATCTGTCTTCCAGATAAAACTTTCACTTTTTCTAGTTCACTTGGTAGTTTATCATGCACCATTTGCCTTTCCTATTGTTTCTTCTGTTTAAATCCTTTATTATTTTATCTTTCATAAATTCTGTGTCCCCGGTAAAATGATAAACTTCTCCATGTCAGAGTGTTTCTATAAATGCCTCGAGTGGAAAAGTTGTTTGATAGTATTTATTGATTTCACTTGACATACTTGTTTTATGTTTACCGTCACTCTGAAAGCTATCTCTTTGCTTGGAATTTGGTGTTACACTCAATTTTGCATGAGTTTTGAATTGCCTTATTTATTGTAGAACAGTGCACTCTTTGAGAAGCCGAATTTTGAAAAATTCTATATTGCCAGTTTAGCTGTGTTTGGGACTTCAGTGACCTCAGGGTATTCAGACCAGTAAGTAGTTCTTAATCTTATGTGTCCTTTTCATGACCATAATCCCATACAGCCTCATGGCCTTTTCATGACCTTGGAGTATTTCTTGCTACTATAAATTTGTTATCATCTCTTGAATGACTTTCAGGTGTATTTTCCACTGGAAGAACTTCCCAGCATGAGAAATCAAGCAGAAAAGAAGGATAAGTACAGTATAGTAGAAACTATAGGGGAAGTACTAAATGATGTTAGGAGGCATAATAATCACCTTCTAAAAATATCTCCATACTAATCCCTGGGATGTATGAATATGTTACTTTACATGAACAAAAGGGCCTTTGCAGATGTGATTAAATAAAGGATCTTGAGGAGGGAGATTTTTCTGGATTATTCAGTTTGACCCATTGTCATCTCAAGGGTCTTTATAAGAGGGATGTGGAAGGATCAGAGTCAACAGATGAGATGATAGGAATGAAGTCTGAGTGATATGGTCACAAGACAAGGAATGCAGGCTGCCTCTAGAAGCTGGGAAGGACATGGAAGGAACAAGATCCCTGGGCAAATCCTGTGTGATAGTTGAGAGGATACATTTTGGGAGTGGTTTGAAACCAGCTGTGCAGACTATTACTGTGTAACCTCAAGCAAAGCATCTAAATCATAGAAGCCTCAGTTTTCTCATCAATAAAGTGGAGAGTAATATGCACCTTACTAGACTGGTAGAGAATTAAAGAGGCTGCATATAAGGCATTTTGCACAGTACCTGACAACAAATACTCGGTTAAGAATAGTTCTCATTGTATCATTTGCACCATTTACAGCTGCTAACCATACCACCCATTCATTCAGTATTGCTGAAGCTGCCCAGCATGGACAATTTGCAAAGCCATCCACACCAATGGATTGCGGGGTGGAAGGGCAAAGCGAGAAAACAGCAGTGCCATCTCCAAGTACGCACAAGACTGTACATTCTGCACCATGTATTACACATTGGGTGCTTGCTTGCTTCCAGATCTTCAGTGCACGTGGCTTTATTAGAAACCGTCTGCTACAGTCTAGACACAGCCACCGGAGTCTGGTCACCAACGGGAGGGAGCAAGGGCCAGAATTCCTGCTGAGTCGCTCTGGGCCCCAGCCCTCTACCTTAATCCCCCGTCTTAGCTTTCCATCTGCAGCTGGCCACCCTGCAGCAGAGCAGAGCCCGCCAGCCCCTGCCCAGTTGGCCGCCTGGCACGCAGCGGCCGCGGCGTCCCCGGGGCTCGGGGAGGTCGGTGGGAGCGCAGCGGGGGCGGAGCTCGGCGTCCCGCCGCCGCCCCTTTCCCGGCGGCTTCGGCCGGGCGGCGCTGCCCTCGCGGACGGGTGGGCGCGTCCCGGGCCGGAAGGAGGCGCAGTCGGGCACGCGACCGCCCACCTCCAGTCGGCCGGGACGCGCGGTCTCCGCCCGGCTCCCGCGCGCCGCCTCGGCGCTCTGCAGAGAATTTCAGTTCCTGCGAGCAGCCTGCACCTCCCGGAACGCGTCTAGAAAGGACCGCCGTGCCCGAGCCGCCGGAGCCTTCCGTGTGGCGCCCAGAGGCGCCACCGGGGACATGCGACGGGGAGCCCCCGCCACAACGCAGGCAGTGGCCGCGCCGCCCCGGGAGAGTCGTCCCAGAGCAGGTAGGCGACCGGCGGCCGCGGGAGGAGACGCCTCCGCGCCGCTCTGCCGGGCGTCCACCGGGGACCGGAGCGACGCGGTGTGCTCGGTGCCGATGGCGGATGGTTCGGTCCCACAGCTGGCCCGCTGATGCTTTGCCTGTTGCTCTTGTCCCCATCCCATCCTGCGCTCCCTGCGGGGCAGTCTTTCTCGCAGATGATGGATTTCTCTGCAAGGTCATTGCTCTCGTAGACTGGCTTTGAAGGTAAATGGAAGACGCCTGCTGTACTTGCTCTCGGGCGGGGGAATTTATAATCGATCGGGTCTGCACACTGTGAATATACAAATAGGTGTGTGTGTGGGGGGGGGTGTACGTGTCTGTTTGGCAATACTACACTGACATTTTTCTCGTTTTCCTACGCCAATCCCTTTAGTCAGAACACTATAGTTATGTATATTTGTGTGCGTGTGGGCATGTATGTATATACACACACATATATACACACACGTACGTAGTTTTTCTTGAGATAGGCGGAGAGAGAAGTAGGGCCAGCAGAGGTTGGGGGGGGGTGTACGTGTCTGTTTGGCAATACTACACTGACATTTTTCTCGTTTTCCTACGCCAATCCCTTTAGTCAGAACACTATAGTTATGTATATTTGTGTGCGTGTGGGCATGTATGTATATACACACACATATATACACACACGTACGTAGTTTTTCTTGAGATAGGCGGAGAGAGAAGTAGGGCCAGCAGAGGTTGATAAAGGGAAAACATTGTAGAGACCTGTTCAGTATCTAGAGGTGAACTTTGGAACCACATTAAATCAGGTTAGAGCGACTAGAGGCTATAAATGATTCTTTGGAGGTGGATTTTAGAAAGGATCTGAAGAACACTGCTAACCAGTACGCACAACCGATCTTCATGCTATCCAGGCAGATCTAAAAGATGTATGCAAAATTTCGGCTGCAACAATGGACAGGGAAGGAGGGGTTAAAAAGAGGGTTAGGAGACACTTGGGAAGTGAATTTTGGGTGGTGGGAAGGCAGCAAATTCCGGCGAGGTTTAAAGTGCCTTCTGGAGGTACATGGAGAGCAATCTCTGCTTGGGGTGTAGGCAGTTCAAGGTTAAGATGATGTGAAAGCCCAGAAGGCAGCTGAAGCAGTGGGGAAAAGGCAAGGGTTTGAAGTAGGGAAGGAGAAGCAAGCTCTGAGAGTCACCATCCACCTTTTATTAAAGTATCTTCTCCCTGTAAAAGCAGTACTTGGATATGCCATGTAAATATTTTTCACAACACATTTGTTTAAGATCCACTGGTCCATGTTTTCATTTTGTTTTTGCAAGCAATCTGGGTCATGGTGGGACTGGAAGAAGCTGAAGTGTTTACAACACCAGCAAGATTTGGAGAGAGAGTTGATTAAGGCTTAGCCTCATAAAATATTTACACATCTCTTCGTGGGCTTTTGTTTGCTCGTGTTGGAGCTGCTGCATATTTTACTTTGATAATGCATTGAGTGTACTTCTCCCGAATGTGCTTATTTTCCAGTTATAAACTGTTCTTTCTTTTCCATTGTGTTCACCATTGGTCTGCCCTGAGTAACAACTGTGGAACTAAAGATACATCAGTCACAACACGAAGAAGAAAATCTCTGTTGTTATCTGCAAATGGCAGGAGTTTGTATTAGAGGATTTTCTTTTGAAATAGAATCATGAAAAGCATTTTCAAGTTTTTGTGTGTGTTTGGGAGGAGAATGGTTTGTTGATTCATAAACAGGAAAAAAAATAGTAGTAATTGCCATTGGAAGCCCAGATGTTATATCACTGGAATTTATTTTGGAAACAGAGCAGGGGAACTCATGGAGATCCATGTAGAGGGTATTACGGTGTGGTGAGATTTCACCTAATCACTAACTAGACTTTTATGAAAATGATGAGGACAGAATCACAGGTGCACAGCTTCATAGGGGAAGTGGAAGATTGAAGCATGACATGAATCAGATAAGTCTCAACTGAGTGGTAGGTTCCAATAAGATGATTGGAAATTTGGGTGTTTTTAAAATTGTCTCATTATACTTGCTCCATGCCCTTATCTGTCCCTGCAACATTTCCTTAATTATGCCTCAAATATACTTATATTAAGTATATTTGTTAAGAGATTATTAAGATTGTATTTATTAAAAATATATTAGATACAGCTATCCTTCATTGTATGAATTTCCAGTCACAAAATCTGCAGCTTACAGGGAAGCACTAAAATACTGGTCATAGAATCACAAAATCACAAAAAGACTGACCTCAAAGAGTCTGGACACACAACCCCAGCCCCAGCTTACACTTGAACTGTCTCAGTGGCAACTGTTTCTGCCCTTTATGCACTTGTTCATTGATTCATCCAAGCATTTAACGTATATTTATCCTGAACTCTACATGGTCCTAAACAGTGGAATAGAAGAGTGAACGAAGAACAGGCTCAGCCTGCAAAACTTGGAAGGGAGGAAGTAGCTAGTTAAATGTTGGGATAGGACAAGCACAGGGTGCCATGGAAACTGGGTTATGTAGGTGGAGAGGACAAGGACAGTCCCCAGGGAGCTGAAGGATGCAGGGAATCAGTCTGGTAAAGAAGAGAAGGGCAGTCCTGGTACAGCAAGCAAAGGATGCAGAGGCCCCAGAAGAAAGTAGCCCTAGGTAGTTGGAAAGCTGTTAAGTAGAGGAAAGAGGGAAAGATGACGATGGGAAAGGAAGCAGATCTGTCATCAGCTGAAGTCCAGAGGAGCTGATGATTCATCTGGTCAGTCAGCCATCTGAACTGGATAAGTTAATAAATGCTGTTGATAGCCTTCAAATATCTAGAAACCATATCTACCTTCATTTACAATCACCTGATTAAAAGGGAGACATGTCCTCAAGAAAGTCCTAACTGTGCCTCAATTTCTTCACCCATGAAATGTCCACCACCTACTCTGCATATTGTGAAAATAAAAGAGAATGAGGGAATGAGCTTAATAGAAATGCAGGGGATCTTATTTTCATAGCAACAATTTTCAGAGAAAAACTATGGAAAATACTGTGTATTCCAAGTACTTAATTGTCCCAGATGACTCCAAAAGGTAAAAGTATGATGGTATGAAAAACTGAATGAACAAGAAAGTAACTCAGGAACACAGGCTAAAGAGAGCCCTAAGACCAGACACAACTTTTTAGTTATTTTTTAAGTGAGGGAAATATATACAGCAATCCCATAGTAATCAATACCTGCCTTTTTAGAACTGCTCACAACCCATTGTGAAGTCAGTTTCCTGGGTAATTTTTATTTTTGAAAAATAATATTGAGTAAAACAGAGTAGAAGGGTAAGTATTGTTCATGAAACTTTTTAATTAAGTATATACTTATATGTATATATATATTGGACTATGAGTAAAGTGTGTATCTTACTATGCATCATGTTTAAAAAGTTCGAAAGCAGTTGCTTTAAGTTATCCAAATGAGAGCTGCTTCTAGTTTGCAGGACCCCAAGAGTCAACTAGGAGATCTGATACACAAGCATTTGCGTATAGCTTTATTCATAAATTCAGGATAGCAAAATTGTCTTGAGAAGGCAAAACATTTTGACTTAGCAGAAAATTCATGGCAGTAAAATCAGAGGAGAGTAAGATCCTTGGGGGCTGAATTAGTCTAGCAAGGCTTCAAGGATGAGATGGAATCTGAGCAAGTTTATGAAAGATGAATGGATCTGGGTGGGCAGTGAGGAAGGGGTGGAGATATAGAAGAAGGAAGTAAAGAATGAGGTGGGGTCATGTGAGGTTTATTTAAGAATCATTTAGTAAAGCAAAAATGAATATCAAGTTGGGGAGGGAATTGCAGCAGAATTTCTGTTTAGACTAAAATATTACTCCAGAGTTGCTATTTATTTAATGTTTATGATTTCTTTTCCTAATTCTGCTGCAGAATGGCCATAACATCATACATCTGTCATTTACTGCCATCTTTTTACTTCTTTTGTAATAATTTACTGACTAAGCCTTGCTTCAATTGAATTTCATGGTTGAACAATTGAAATTTTGTGATATACCACATTGGATCATGATTACTTCATTTCTAAGAGCACAGTTACTGGCACAGAGGGGCTATCCAGTGATTGTCGTAAATGGAGCAAACCCTTCTGTTCTCTTCAACTGGCCTCCTTTCTGGAGTGGTGCAAAGCCCTGTAACTAGGCCTAACCGCCCCGTGAAGGTGGACCAAACCGCTGTATTCATGACCCCCAAAGGAAGAGCAGAATCTGATGGGTTTTCTTTTTCAGTTGGTCTGTGACTTATCCATCATTTTAGTTAAATATTTAAATATGTTTGTTTGCATTTCAAGAAATTAACATCGGAGTGTTTTGCTGTAGCCTAATGGTTATTTTGAGAAGATCAGGTCAGAGAAGAAAGTCTTGTGTTTTTGAAAACTTTCTGTAGGCTTCTTTTAGCTCTTGCTGTCCTTCCTGTGAAATAAAACAATGTTCTGATATTGAAATCCTTTTGAAAAAAGCTATTTCTTTAACCAGAAGAACAGTGCCAGTTAAAATAGAGACTCTTGTGCTTAAACTAGTTGATTTGGAGTGCAGTCAAATATGGAAATTCACTTTTTTATAAAGCTGTCCTGGACTCCTCTTTCATCTTCCTTCTCCACATCAGAATGTTTAAATTGGTGATAGTCGAACTTTTAGGCATAAGAGTCAAGTCTGGAATAAAGAGTCAAGTCTGGAATAATAAAAACATTTAGAGTGCATTTGGATTGAGAAGACATTTACTGAATTTCATGAGGGAAAATGTATATGCCCGTAATTACAATCTAGGTTACTTACTGTCTTGAATGCCCGTGAGTAAAATTTCCACAGCTTTGTATTCAGGCATATTGGAGTTAGCAACACAATAACAGCTTTCTGATTTTTTATGTCTATAATTAGATTGCTGGCTTTATTTTGAAGCTAGGTGCATAATTAGGGGCTCAAATTATTATTACCAGTCAATAATAACTTACCTTTAGCTAGAAAGCTAAATGCTATGACTTACCGAATCTGAACACCAATCTGGAAGTAGGGCTTAGAAATCTGTATTTTATAAGGGCCCCCAAAGGATTCCAATAGCCAGGCTGGGACACCACTGTTAAGTTCTGCCTTATTGATATGGAAATACAGATGAGTCCCAGACAAGTTAATAACTTGTCCCCAATCATTGTTAGAAGTCTAGACCACCTCTTTCTAGTTCTCCACCAGTTCTAAGG